AAAATGAGATTGAACGTAGCTTTTTTTTGTTAATAATTAATTTTTTGAATTGAATTTTTAAAAGAGAGGGATATGAGTATTATTTTGTTGTTAATAATTAATTTTTTGAATTGAATTTTTAAAAGAGTTTGGTTATGAGTGTTATTTTTTTGTTAATAATTAATTTTTTGAATTGAATTTTAAAAAAAGTTTGGTTATGAGTGTTATTTTTTGTTACTAATTAATTTTTTGAATTGAATTTTAAAAAAAGTTTGGTTACGAGTGTTATTTTTTTTGTAAATAATTATTTTTTTTAATTAAATTTTTAAAAGAGTTTGATTACGAGTGTTTTTTTTTTAATAATTAATTTTTTCAATTAAATTTTAAAAAAAGTTTGGTTATGAGTGTTAATAAGAATTTTTAATAGAGTTTTGAGTTGTGTATTTGGTTATGAGTTATAACTTTTTTGAATTAAGTTTTAAAAACTCTTTTTAAAATTCATAACCAAACAAATTTTCTTACATCACATGTCATATCAAATATTCAAAATTCAATTCAACACTCGACTCAAAACTCAATTCAAAATCTTTTTAAAACTCATAACCAAATAAATTTTCTACACTTAAATCATAATTCTAAAACTCACAAACTCAAAATACAACTCTATTCTCAAATCATATTTCTAAAACTCTACCAAACACTATCTTACTCATTTCTGGTGAGAACTTTTTTCTTTTTTTTTTTGTTACAAGAAAATCCTCCCTACCCTCTCGCAGGTCCAAGGCAGCGCCCCTTGCAGAAATCAGCGCCCCTTGCAGAGATCATTAGGTTGTCCTGTTAGCCGTCCCGAGCGAGGAGACTATAACCTGGAAACTTGCCCTGACCTCCCAAGACAAGTTCTGCTTAAGTCAAGACTCGCACAGTGGGGGAGTATTGAACCCACACCAAGTGCTGATTAGACAACTTGAGGTCCAACCTCCTAACCAACTGTGTTTCGCCCAAAAGATTGACCCAAAGGAGAGGAAATTGAACCTGTAACCTTGGGACTTAAACCCCAAGCCTTAATCACAATGCCACCCATCCCTGGGTGATCTGGTGAGAACTTCAATAAGCTACAAAAGCGATGTCTTCTTCCCTTCACCCAAATCATCAGTTTGGTTGTGCAAAATTATTTGGTGAGAAATTAGGCAAGTGATAATACCACGACTAGACTCAACTTGTCACTTCCACACTTTTTGTATTATAAAATGGAACATATGCCGTTTTATAAATTTTGGAGTTGTTTGGGGTGTCTTAAATAAGTGTATTTTTTGTTTTTTTAAAATAAAAAGTTGAGAAAAAAAATATGAATGTTTGTGTTAACTTTTTGACTTTTTATGAAAAAATGTGTATTAAAAAATTGTATAAAGAAGTGTGTAGGAGAAGATTAAAAATTTGGGTTCGCAGCCGTACAATCTGTACAATTGAATTGATGGTAAGAAATTATTGGCCAATGTTTGGGCATTGCACTGAACGGTTCTGTTCGGCCCATGGGGGCCATCACGGGTCCCATTTTGATAATCCGAATAGTTCAATGTGTAGAACTCGTCGAGTACTATACACTTATAAAAAATCACGCTGATTGGATATCGATAACTATCTGATCAGATTTGTTTTTTTTCAATCGTTAATTATAACACCATCAATTTTTTATACAAAATTGATTTGATCATATAGTTATTGATATTCGATCAACGTGATTTTTAACAATCATATAGTATTCGACGAGTTCTACACATTGAACGGTTCAGATTATCAAAACGGGACCTGTGTTGGGACCCCACTAGCCGAACAACAGTGTGTTCAATTGCACCCAATCAGATTAGATTTATTCAGCCGCACACCGCACAGATCAGTGATTGCTTACATCATTGAGTTGTACTTGGCTTGGAAAATTAATTTTTTAATATTTTTTTTTTGTGAATAGTGATAACTTTTAAACTTTTTAAATAATTTTTTGACTTTTTAACTTTTTGAGAGATGCCAAACTTGGCCTTTATCTGCTATATTATAAATAGGTGGGACAATGATAAAATAAATGTACTATATAAGAAAATATTTTTTTATAGAACTTTGACACACAAAAAAAACTTGTACCATACACATAGGAGACTTGCATCACCATAAAATTTGAATTATTTATTCACCGGTTCACTAAAATTAAATTTTCCCTTATGCTACCCTTTATGTGACAGTTGATTTGGATTTTGTAACTTGAAAAAAATATATATATATACCTTTCTTCTTATTATTTGTATTTAGATAAATTATAAATACACCTATAAAATTTGTTTAAAATATGAATTACACCTATAATTTTAGATATTACATCCTACCCCCCTGAAGTTTTTAATTTCATAGCAAAAATCAATCATTTTACTAATAAATTATCAAGCTAATTAATTGCTTTTAATGATATTAGAAAATTATTTTAATTAATAATTCAATTAATTTTATTATTATACAGCAGAATAATTACGAATTTTATTTTTTCAATTAATTATGTTAAATACAAAATTATGACAATAGAATATTTATGATTTTTCAAACACATGAAATAATTTGTATCTTAAATAAATCCCAATAAATATATTTATAATTTACTCTTTTAATTTTTATCTTTTCATACTTCTATAAGTACAACCACAGGCCTTCACATCCCCTACTCAAATTCATCCCTCATCATTATTTGCCACTTGAAACTACTTTCACACCCGCTCTCCCGCCCTTCTCATTTGCCCAAACTCATTATAATCATACCAGTGACATAAGGGGTATTTTGGGAATATGATCAAAAATTTATTTTTTTGATTTTTTTTTTCAATATGTAAAAAATAAAAAAAAAGATGATATGAGTTAAAATAGATTAAAAGTTAGGAAACGATTTTTAATCAACCTCCAAGAAAAGTCCTAGTGCCGTTTTGGAAACAAAATAAAAGTCAAAATAAAAGTCATGTTTTTGAACAAAATGTCAAAAAAATGCACGTGGCAAAAACGCAACAAAAATAACCCAAACCAAAATCGTTCAAACCCCTGCCGCCTGTTTCTGTTGCGACTTCACATCTCTTTTTTCTGCTTCTACAATTTGTTGTTTACAAATATGTGGTATATGTTCATGTGCAATAAAGAAGTGTACACAGTCTCATACAATTTATCGTTTACACATGTTACACTTGCAAACAATCATCATAATTGAGATTAATAATTATTTAAATATGTCTCATTAAGAATTAGTTATATTTTGAAATTCTCACGTTTGAACATATTGAGGTGATCCTTAATGAGCCTGTGTGAAATATCACTAAATCTGTTAAAATTATATCGATTTACATAAATTCAGACCGCTATATTCGTTAACCGTAATTTAAATTTTAAATTTATAATTCGCCTTCGAAACCGCTTTGCTCCGCTATAGCTAATACATATATATTTTTTAATCTATAATGAAATATTAAAGTAAAAATGAGTGTGAGAGATATTTAATATGTGAAATTTATTATGAAAAATATTATGTAAAATTAGTTTGTATTATATATTATGCAAATGTTTGATAATTAGTTAAAATATTCTTCAATCTAACAATTTATTCAAAACCACTAAAATCTCAATTTTTCAATCCGTTAATCCACTAATCCACCATTTAACTTATAATTTTACTTTTAAACTGTCCGAATCACACCATACACCCTCCTAATCCTTAACCCCAACTAAGAATTTTAGAAATGAAGGATGCAAATTGTCACCGTAAATTTGCCAACGTAGACATAGCTGGATTAGTACCATTATTATAGTCACTTTGAGGAAATAAAAAAAATATCAAATAAAAATAAAATATGTAGCATTGGGTTTAATGATAGACACTTACAATATATAATTTAATGAGATAACAACTCACTCTGTATATATAACACTAATATTTGTTTCTAAAAAAAAAAACAAATATTTATAATGTTCCACGTTAAATAATAAATGCTAGTAATAAAACAAGCAATATCAATTTTCATTATGGTAAATTATAAATACAGTAATTAAAATTTATTTAAAATATAAATAACCCGTTGTGGTTATGAAATAAATGATAATTTGACTCTTCTTTACTCAATGACTAAAATAATTAATTGAGATCACATTAAATTTAATGAGTAAAATATTATTTTTTCGTCGAATTTATTTAATGAAAATAGACAAATAATTTACATTGAAAACAAATTAAAAAATGAGAGTTAAATTAATAAAATAAAAAATTAAAGGTTTATTTTGTTACAACACTTTTTTTTTTTTGGGTAATCATCCTTAAAAATAAGCAATAGCATTTTTTACAAAAAAAAAAAAATTTAAATTATAAATACACTTCTTAAAATAAGAATTAATTGTTGTAGCCATGAAATAAGTGCTAATTTGAATAGTCTATATTTATATTTATTTTTTAGTAGTGCTACATGTATAAATTAATACACAAATTAGTGTTATGACATTATTACTGATCTCATTTATTATATAAATTATAAATATCTAAAATTTCTAAAATAATATCACATCATCTATTGATAAACTAATTAGTATATTAATTGATACATATAACATATTATTCTTTATTTTTATTTTTTTTTGCTTTTCCTGCAAATATTAAGTAGCCTCCGTTTGGCAAGGGCTTTTTCAGGCTTTTTTGGCTATTTTAGCCACAAAAAACAAAATAGGCTATTTTAGCCATAACAAACAAAACATCACATCCAACCCATAATCATTACATTTTTCTCTCACAAAAAAAGTTAAAAAAGCCAAAAAGCCCTTCCCAAACCAAGTTTTTTAGCCCAGATTAAAATAGCCAAAAAAACCAAAAAATCAAAAAGCCAACCCACTTCCCAAACGGAGGCGTAATATGAGATGTACTCACAAATCACAGCTAATTATCCATTTGGATAAGTGCTTCGCTTGATTAGTCCTACTCAACAATCTTATTTTATAACCCCCCAAACAAGCCCTTGACAGGAGCCCAAATCAAACCCTAGTACCCTACCCTCTTCTTGCCCTAAACACAACCGCTCCTTTTTTTCCACTCCAAATTTCCGCGAAGAAGAGAAAAGGGCGAGACAGAGAGAGAGCCACCACATCTGCATCTGCTATCGCTCTATCGAACATCAAAAACCCTAATAATCGGCGATGGATTCCGAGTCAACTCAGCTCCAACAAGCCCAACTAGCGGCGATTCTCGGCCCCGATCCTGTTCCCTTCGAAACCCTACTTTCTCATCTGATGTCGTCGTCGAACGAGCAACGATCACAGGCCGAACTCATCTTCAACCTCTGCAAACAAACCGACCCTAATTCCTTCGCTCTCAAACTCGCTCAACTCCTCCAGTTCTCCACCCACCTCGAGGCCCGAGCCATGTCCGCGATTCTACTCCGAAAACAGTTAACTCGTGATGACACCTACATATGGCCTCGCTTGTCTCCTTCGACTCAGTCCTCCCTCAAATCGATCTTGCTAGCTTGCGTCCAACGCGAAGAACAGAAGACCATAATCAAGAAGCTCTGCGACACCGTTTCCGAACTTGCTTCCGGGATTTTGCCCGATAATGGGTGGCCCGAACTCCTTCCTTTTATGTTCCAGTGTGTGTCCTCCGATTCACCCAAGCTTCAGGAATCGGCGTTTTTGATATTCGCTCAGTTGTCGCAGTTCATGGGTGACGCTTTAATTCCTCACATTAAACATCTGCACGCGGTTTTTTTGCAGTGCTTGACATCTTCATCCAACTCCGATGTCAAGATTGCCGCGCTTAGTGCCGCGATTAACTTCATTCAATGCTTGTCCAACTCGAGCGATCGCGATCGGTTTCAGGATTTGCTGCCCGCGATGATGCGGACGTTGACGGAGGCGTTGAATTGCGGGCAGGAGGTTACTGCGCAAGAAGCGCTTGAATTGTTGATTGAATTGGCCGGGACGGAACCTAGGTTTTTGAGGAGGCAATTGGTGGATGTGGTGGGGTCTATGCTGCAGATTGCGGAGGCCGAAACCCTAGAAGAGGGAACCAGACACCTCGCGGTTGAGTTTGTGATCACACTTGCTGAAGCGAGAGAAAGGGCTCCTGGTATGATGAGGAAGTTGCCACAGTTTATCAGTAGGTTGTTTGCTATACTGATGAAGATGCTATTGGATATGGAGGATGATCCTGCTTGGCATAGCGCGGAGAGTGAGGATGAGGATGCTGGAGAAACCAGTAATTATAGCGTTGGCCAGGAGTGTTTGGATCGGTTATCTATTGCGTTGGGTGGAAATACAATTGTTCCGGTTGCATCGGAGCAGTTGCCAGCATATTTGGCTGCTCCTGAGTGGCAGAAGCACCATGCTGCTCTAATTGCACTTGCCCAGATTGCTGAAGGATGCTCTAAGGTATTGACTGCTTCATTTGGGAGCTTTCATCTTACATTACAAACACATTTCTGTTATTGTAATCATTTGCTTGATGGTTCAAACACATATGCAAGTATAGAGTAATATATGCTAATCAAATTGACTTGTATAGTTTTTTGTTTGTATTTTTTGTCTGGTTATGTTTCTTATCAAGCAAAATATCAGCTTTGATTGGTTTCATTTTCATTCTATCTTCATCTTTGCAGGTTATGATTAAAACTTTGGAGCAAGTAGTGAACATGGTTTTGAATTCATTTCAAGATCCTCATCCTCGAGTGCGATGGGCAGCTATTAATGCAATTGGACAGTTGTCTACAGATTTAGGTCCAGATTTGCAAGTACAGTACCATCAACGTGTGCTACCAGCTTTGGCTGCGGCTATGGATGATTTCCAGAATCCTCGCGTACAGGTTAGCTCTTTTGGTGCTTTGCCAATTGTAAATTTTAGATGGTTACAATTGATTTTCTAACTGGTCCTTGGTCCTGCAAATATCATTTGCATGATTATTTTGGCTTATGCATGTGCTGAGCCACCTTTAGGTATTTTGCTTTTACTTGCTACTTATATTTTTTACTTTCAAGGATTCATATTGACAAGTTTGGTAGTCCCTATATTCCCAGTTTGGATTTTATGTTTTTTGATATCTATTATTATGGATCAATGTGATTTTGGTTGTTCACCAGTGTTTTGGTGATTTAAATGAACAAACTCTGAAATACTTCTATCAGCAATGATGAGGGCTTCGTTCGAAAAAACTTCGTCGAGAGCCAAAAGTTTGAGGTACTTGAGAACAAATTTTTTCCTATGAATTGTTGTATCCACACTACCAAAACTTCCTATTCCTAACCTTGTATAAGCACCATGTAACACTAGAAGTGTTGCTTCTCATGCCCTTTTTGTTGCTACTACACTGTTGTCGAGTGTTGCTTCTTGTGCTTCTTTTGTTGATTCTACCCCATTAATGGTAATAAATAAATGCCATAACTAGTCATTTTTGGAATAAAACAAAGCTAAATGACTACCTAGGCTGTGGGCCTTTCTGTTTTTGTGGGGAGTGTTATTTGTCGGGTTGAATGGCTACAAACTAAGGTCTCGTTTGGGAAGTAAGAGTTTAGCCTAAAAGTCAAAAAGTTACTAAAAGAACTAAAAAGTCTATAACCTATACTAAAAAGTCAAAGATTTCATTTTCTTTCTACTTTTTGCTCATCTTTTCGTAAAAAATCAAAAAGTCATTCCAAGAATACAAGTTTTTTTTACCTCATATTTTAGCCAAAAAGTCAAAAAGTTACTAAAATAACATGTTCTCAAACGAGGCCTAGGTATAGAAGAGAATTTATTTGAGTAGAAAACATAGAACTTACTCAAATTAGAAAACCAATAATGTTAACTGCGACATTTCATGGGTAGATCATAGATGAACTCTTTCATTTTCTTAGCAATTTTTTGAGGATTATAATTGGTTGTCCATCTAGAGGAGATTCGACAAACTTTATAGAAGGTTCAGAAGCAACATTTTTTGAGAAAGGGAATGGCCTAGAGGTGGCCGATAAGCGACACACCCTAGAGAAAGGGAATGGCTAGCCAATAGATATACAAGATATGTCACCACTTAGAAAAATAAAAGACTCCCTAGAGAAAGGGAAGAACATGCCTAGATATGGCCATGGAAGGACAACAAGAAGCCAAGTCATTTGTTTTCTTTTGCATGATCAGTTTGCAACATGACAACCTTAGAAATGGAGGCAGCCGATGGAGATATTTCCACCCGTCTAAAGCTCGACTTGAAAGATTAGCCTCTAGGGTGGCCAAGCGGACCTGAGATGAATAAGGGATGAGCATGACCAGCAAAGAATGAGCATGCTGAGTTAAGCATGACCAAAATAGAGTGGTTAAGCTGATCATAGTGGCCGAGTCGACCAGAGTAGAGTGGGTGACCAGAGTGACCGAATCGACCATATCAAAGTGGTTGAGCCAACCAGAGTTGAGAGACCAAGAGACCCAAAAGAGTCCACACGGTAAGTGGATTAGAATTGCTCCTAAAATCATGCATGCCATTGTGCCCATAATTGTGCCATACAAAATCAACTAGTGGCTAAAATCAAGGGAAGGTTTTCCTTGACTTTCATAATCATTTCCTCCTGTACAAGATGTAGACCATCAAGTAAGGCCTCTCTATATTTTTTTTTAATTATTTTTATATCTGAACTCACTATGAATACTTAAATGATAGAATAGGCTAGACTCTAGCTTCTTTTATTTATTTATTTAATTTTCTTTTGGGCCTCTTACAAGTGGTCATTCTCCATCTGCGAAATTCGAAAAATTGCATCAAGTTGCATGTTTCATAAGTCTTTAGACACCTTGCAATGGATTAAGAGGTGATTACATATTGTGGGTGTTTGGGTAGTAGCTATTTTAGAGGCTTTTTGGCTATTTTAGTTTGTGTTTGGGAAGATAGGATGAATTTTTATTGTGTTTGAGAAGATATGATAGATTTTTATTTGAGTTGTATTAAAAAATGTGTTTGAAATGATGTTTGAAATTGAAATGACAAATTTACCCCTAGGCTTGCTTTTTTCAAAATTGGTCTACAAGGGCAAAATTGTCATTTTTGCCTATGGGGTAGGCTGGCAAAACACTGCAGCGGCACCGGCTGCTTTGTTTGTTGTGTGTTTTTTTTTTTTTTCTTTTAATCAATGGGTATAACTACTGTTGAAGCTTTTGGCTTTTTTCACACTTTGAGGCTAAAATAGCCTGTAGCCCCATTTGCCAAACACCGCCATTACTTAACTTTGCACATGCAATGCCAATTTAGTACATAGGTCTAGAGCTACTGTAGTGAAAGACAATTCAGAATGTTTTTGGTCAAGTAGGTTCAAGACGGAATAATCTATGAAAAATCAATATATCATAATCAAGCATATCATCCACTCCACATAATATCGTGGTAATAGGGTAAATAATATGAACATAGCAATATATGTTTGGGACACTAACTGCCATGGAATAACCATGGGCGACCTTGAAAGAAATCACTAAACAAGAGTTTTAAGTACAAAACTCAACTTAAACAAGTTACTTGGCCTTGGATTTGTTTAGTCTTGATGTTTCCTTGTCAATAAAACTAGGCTTTGACACCACTATCAAACTTCTTTTTGTTCGGATATCCGCTCCCAGTTTGACAAGATTAACCAATGTGCAGTGAATGATGAAAAGTATTGCAAATGATATGTGGGTACAACTCGAAATTTTCTGTTATAGGCTGGTATGTCTGGTATGGTCAAAAAAATTGTCTGGTACAGAATTAAAAACTCATTGTGATTTTCCTACCAGTATGGTATTCACTACAATGGTGCATGCAGGCTCAGCAAATTAACTTGTGTGGATATGTACATAAAAATATACCACTTTGATTTACAATATTAATTACCCAGTTTGAGATGAACTCTCTTCAATATTTTTGTTCTTATGTCATTTATTCCCATGTACGAGCATAATTTTGTTTCTTAGTATGTTCTTCTAGTAATTAAATATTTAATTTTCTTCTTGGCTGAACTTCTTAAATTTGTATTTTTGATAATTATCATTTGCAATACATTAATCATTCTCCACTGGTCTTACAAAATGGGTTCCTGACTTGTGAATTTACAATGAATATCAATATATAGTGGGATGAAGTGGTTTATTGTGGACAATGAATTTGAATAAAATCCTCAGAAAACATCTTAGGATGAAATTTTTGTATTGCTTGATACTTTCATCTTTATATTATTAAATAGCCTGCAATCTGTTTTATGACAACGATAAATTTATTCCACTTCTTGCCTGATATTATGTCTTTTTTTTTTGTTGATAAATAATCAGACTTTATTAGAAAAGCATGAAGATGATGCAAAGAATACAAAAATTCACCCCACGGGTCCAAACATGACTAACTAATCAAATCCTCCATAAAATCTACAAAAGCCAATTTAATACTTTGTATTATGTTATTTTCATTCATATTAAATACTTAGCATTTTTATGTGCACAATTTGTTATTGTTTTTACTCATGTTGTTTTCTTCTTCTTCTTTTTGTTACTTTAATGCTAATATCCCAGTAGTGTTCATGATTATATTGTTTTGATAATATGTTTATGAATTTTAGACAAATGGTTATGGTTTATTGGTTTTTCTTCTCTATTTGCACTTTTACAGGCGCATGCTGCCTCAGCTGTGCTCAATTTCAGTGAGAACTGCACTCCAGATATTTTAACGCCCTACTTAGATGGAATAGTGGGCAAACTGCTTGTACTTTTACAGGTATAGCAGCAGAAGGGTTACAACTGTGTTCTTAAGTCATAAATAAAGACTAACGCACTCATTAAAAAAAAATCCCTGGGTCCTAACTAATAATTTTTTATTCAGAATGGCAAACAAATGGTGCAAGAAGGGGCCTTGACTGCTTTAGCATCAGTTGCTGATTCATCTCAGGTATATCATTTTAGACATGTCCTTGAATCGTTCATTCCCTGGCTCTGTTATGAATGGCTCATTCTAACTTTTTGTGCATCAATAGGAGCACTTCCAAAAGTACTATGATGCAGTTATGCCTTACTTGAAAACTATCTTGGTGAATGCAACTGACAAGTCAAACCGCATGCTTCGTGCCAAAGCCATGGAGTGCATAAGTTTGGTTGGAATGGCAGTTGGGAAGGAAAAGTTCAGGGATGATGCTAAACAGGTAAGTTATAATAATTTCTTTTCCCATGTTGAGAGAAAAGAAAAAAGGAAGCCAATTGTTGCATCTCAAATGACCATGGTGGTGAGTGCGTGCATGCACATGCAGATAGTCATGCCCATTTGCACATTTTTGGTGTTGGTGATCACCCTTTCATTTTTATGATTTCTGGTTGTTTTGCAGATTGCCCTTCTCTAAACTCATCTAAGTTTTGTTATATTGTTTCCTCCCTTTATGTATCTTGTGTTAGTTTTTCTTTAAAACCATGTATTTTGGTTGAGTGTAGCACCTTAATTTTCATTAAATATTGGCATGAATTAATATTTCAATCATATTTTTATGCAAGGTTATGGAAGTGCTGATGTCATTGCAAGGATCTCAAATGGAGACTGACGATCCTACTACAAGTTACATGCTACAAGTATGCTTTTACTATTGAATTATAAGCTGGAAGAAACATTTGTTGTTTTTTACCCTTGTATGTTTTAAGTTATTTGAATGTTAAAATTTTAATTATGTGCTAGGCATGGGCCAGACTCTGCAAGTGCTTGGGACAGGATTTTCTACCTTACATGAGCGTTGTCATGCCCCCATTGCTTCAGTCAGCTCAACTTAAACCTGATGTAACCATTACATCTGCGGATTCTGATAATGAAATTGATGAATCAGATGATGAAAGGTTTGTCTTTTTTCTTGTAGTTTATTTTATATGTTAGGCAATGCTAGAAGATTTGGCAAGTACTAAAGGTTTGTCTTTTTTCTTGAAGTTGCCCTGTTTTTTTTTGGGGATGAAGTTATGCCTGGAACAGGTTATGATGAAAGCTCAAGTATTTTTATATTAAATTTAGTATATAGCATATTGCAATGCTTGAACTTGATTCTACACATGATGCTCATGTGTGTATATAACAGTGCTTGCATGGCTCCATATCTATACCAATATAGGTATTTTTGGCAAAAGGTATGAACGCATATGATTCACTTCCAATGTGTAGTTATGTAAACCACTGCATTGTTGTCCTTTTGAGGTTTACTGGATCTGATCTCTGCGTAACCTGGACAAGGGAAACTACCAACTTAAACAAAGCCATGGTCGTTGACCATCTCAGCTTAAACAAAGCAATTCTCATTAATGGGCAAAAGGGAATGAAATAGTTTCGGGTGAACAGAGGGAGAGAAAGAAAGAGAGGATGACAGTGGGTTTTGGCCATGGTGATCTAGTTTTTTAGAGTGAGGGGATGGTGGGGGCTTAAGTTGGTTGAAGTGGGATTAATTTTGTAGAGAGAGATAGAAAATTAGAGGTTTGAGAAAGACAAAGAGATGGTGGTGGGTCTGCAGATAGAAGAGACTGAAGAGGTGGGTTTGTGGTTGGGCAAGTGGGGGTCGGAGAGGTGAGGAAGATGAAGGTGGGTGAGGTTTTGGAGAGTGAGAGAGAGAGAGAGAGGGAGAGAAGAGAGGTCAATGGCCGAGGGGGAGGTTGCCAGTGGTGACAAGGGTGGTAGTGGTCAGAGATGGAGAAAAAAGGTCGTGGATGATGATGGGTCTGGTGATGGTGGTTGGTTGATGGTGAAGCAGAAGAGGGAATAGCAAAAGAGAGAGAGAAATTGGAAGGTGAAGATGGGTGGTTGCGATTGTGGAGAAGGCATTAGTTGGTTTTGTTGTGAAGGATATAGAGGGAGCCAAAATAGAGGAGAATGAAGGATGTAAATGGCTGTGGCAATGAAGGAAAGAGATGGTGAAGAGGGTTATTAAAGGCGCGTCTAGGCGTACGCCTACGCCCAAGTCCCATCCAGGCCCAAAGTTTGAGCCTTGTAGTGTTCCAAGCCAAGTGACTTCGATAAGGTGCGCCTAGATGTGTGCCTGGGCCCAAGGTTTGTTTCTTGTAGTGTTCCTGGTTAGACGGCTATGATAAGGCGCCTGATTGGTCCAAGGCTTGTGTCTTGAGGGCCTTTTTTATTGTTGTTTTAATTGGTTTTGTTTAAAATCTAACCATTGATTTAATATGGTGTAGCTACAGAAGATCCCTACCCTTATTATAGACCAATACATTGGACATTCAACCCCAAATCAATGATAGAAGAAAAATTAGCCCTAATTCCTAATCTCCAAAAAACACTAAATGTTTAACATTTCATTTTGTTTTTGTTGAACCCTAAGTTATTAACTTATATTAAATTATATATTTTTTTCGGTATAAGAAGCTTGCGCCTCGCCTTGCACCTTGAGCCTATGCCCCAAGAGACCTTGGCTCCTTGGTGCACCTATCACCTTTAATAACACTAGTGAAGATGATGGGCCTGGCTGGAACCAAGGAAGGAGGCAATGCCTGTGCTGATGACTAGAGTTGTGGTGGTTAAGCTGAGACCCCCATCTGGTTTTGGAGAGAGAGAGAGAGAGAGAGTTGGGGCAGTTATGGGTTGTCAGACATGGAGAGATGGTGGTTGTTTGTAAAAAGTAATGTGTCACTCTTACACTGTTAGTTTGGATAAAAAAATCTAATGATTTCACTTGACACACCAATCACAAGGGAGCTTAGTGTCACTAAACAAATGTTAAAAGAGGGCTGCATGTTTTTGGGTCTAATCCCAGGAGGAATAAAGTGTAATTTACCTTCTTTTTTTTGTTTCTTTTTTTCCCTCGATGCTAATGGTGGTTATGTTGCTGAAGAGTATTTGTGATTTTGATGAGGACTGTATGTCTGTTGCAGTATGGAGACCATTACTTTGGGGGACAAAAGAATAGGTATCAAGACTAGTGTTTTGGAGGAGAAAGCTACAGCTTGTAACATGTTATGTTGCTATGCTGATGAGTTGAAGGAAGGTTTCTATCCATGGATTGATCAGGTTGGTCTTCATGTGACATGAGTTTTTCTTTCTGTCTTTCTTTTTATGCGGTTTTAACCAAAGTGTGATACTAAACATGCACCATTCAACAGGTTGCCCCAACTTTAGTTCCACTCCTAAAATTTTACTTCCATGAAGAAGTAAGAAAAGCAGCTGTTTCAGGTATACACTCGAGTCATAGTTTCCCATTTTTCTTTGTTTTCCATTATTGTTGGTGTACTGAATATCTTGAGGTGAACTATTATTTTTCAAGCCATGCCGGAGCTATTGCGTTCAGCAAAATTAGCTGTAGAGAAGGGGATTGCTCAAGGTCGTAATGGGTCTTATGTTAAGCAGTTATCTGACTACATTGTTCCAGCTTTGGTGGAAGCTTTGCATAAGGTGTAGTTTGTTGTTAAATAATTATGCTGTGGTGACATAATTCTTGTCACTATATTATGCTTCTGATTTGAGAACTGAAGTTTTTCAATGGGCTTCATATTGCAGGAGCCTGATACAGAAATATGTGCAAGCATGTTGGATGCGTTGAATGAATGCATACAGGTTTTTCATTTTTATACTGTGGCTATTTCAAATAATTTATCTGCTACAAATGGATAACATATGGATCCCATACTGTCGTATCTTTGAAACCATTTTCTGTGTCAAATCTAATGAAATGGTTTTCATTTTACATTTGGATCATAGATTCTTATTTTTCTCTTTTTTTATCCTTTTTTTAATAGAAAATGATTTTGTAATTCAATGTGATTCATTTGTGAAGAATGACACTCATAACGCTTCTGCTTAGTAACAGATTCTGAATGTTGGTTCATATTATTAGATAATAACGATGTGTAATTTCCACAATACATTTGTATACTTTGGGGGTTGGAATTGTACTAGGTTGAAGTTGAATGGATCAGCAATGATCCAGACCATATGTAAAGAGTTCTTACCACAATCTGGTAATCCAATGGATCACTATGAATTCAATATGAATATGATTCTGTTAATTAATGGATTCTTGTTCTGAAAATTTGATTAAATCTATAAACTTGGTGACACGCTGTATACAGTTTTACAATCCTGGAACCTGAAGTTTAGACCTTTAACAAATTAATAATTTCATGAGGCAGGGATGAAGAGGAAAACCCAAAATAAAGTCCCCATGGCTGTACTACCTTTTATTAGTCAAAAGTTCATTTGGATAAGAGCTAAATGATAGTCTTTGGTTGACTTGTCTTGGCTCAGCTTGGCTAGTTTTCACTGTTAAAACTTGCTTCTGATTTCCATTGAATAAATTTCATGGGTTGTGTTGATTTCTGAAAGTAAAATGTAGATGCTATGTTTTTCTTCTTCTTCAGTATAAACTTATAATTTAGTGTTGGAAACAAATTGTTTTGGAATGGGTTTATGCGTATGTACTTATGCTGTGCATTGTTTTACTTATTAAATTTCTTGCACTGCATGTATCTAATTAAGCAATTAAGCTTCATAAAAGATCACTCACTCATGTCTTTAAACTGGAAGTGAATCTTTGTTTCTTAATTCTTTTATGCAAATTTCCTGAATCAATTGTTTTGAGGAGAGGGTTTAGCATGTTATTTGGAATGTGGATCGTTCCGATACGTGGAACGGGAACGTGGTACGCTACATGCTCTAAAATGTGGTACAATAGGGGTAGACCTGTCTATATTATACTTAAGAATGTAAGGTACTTCTAGAGTAATTTTCTTTTAACTATTAGGTATCCAATAAAATGTATTTTATAATATTTTTTTTGTTCATTTTTGATATTTTTGTAAACTTAACTCACCTTAGATTTTAGTTCATAATTTTGATTTTTTTTTCCTCTTAAGGTAACATTTAATAATTTTGATTTTTTTTTCCCCTTAAGGTAACATTTAAGGAAATATATTAAAAAAGATTTTTGGGATCATTTCGGATTACTAAATTTACCATTTTTGGAACGGAAGTGTACCATGTTTCGGAGCAAGCATGCATACCAATACGTAATTTGCTTGGGTATTAGCGTTTTCTGGTAACACATAGCTGTTGACATTATCAAGTTATGTAAATTTGTGATGTACAGAACACACAACCTTGTTCTTTGGTAGTGAATTAGTTGTATTTGTGCTTTCTTATCTTGTACATTTCATTTTGAAGTTTTCAATTGTATTTGTACTTTTGCTTTCAGATCTCTGGACCTCTCCTGGATGAAAGCCAGGTCAAGAGCATTGTGGATGAGATAAAACAGGTGATCACAGCCAGCTCAAGTAGAAAGGGAGAAAGAGCAGAGAGGGCCAAAGCTGAGGACTTCGATGCTGAGGAGGGGGAAATACTAAGAGAGGAAAATGAGCAAGAGGAAGAAGTTTTTGATCAAGTTTGTCTTCCACTAACCATTTTTTAGTGTCATGGATCACATGTTCATCTTTTTATTATATGGTTCTAATAAAATTTAATTTCATTTTTTGCCTCACAAACGGATTTCCTGATTCAGGTAGGGGAAATCTTGGGAACTTTGATAAAAACATTTAAGGCCTCGTTCCTGCCCTTCTTTGATGAGTTGTCATCATATCTTACGCCTATGTGGGTAAGTTCTGCTTCAAGCTACCCATTCATGTTTTATGTATCTTTTGTGTTTAATCTTGCTTTGATATTTGATGCTCATGGGTTTGTTGTAGGGTGTACCCATATGATAGTCTTCTGTAACTCTTCTATTCATCATTCTGTTAATGTTGAATTTTGTGTGAGCAGCTCTGTTACATCGTGCTTCATTACTTGCCTACTCGTCTCAATTGCAGGGGAAGGATAAAACAGCTGAGGAGAGAAGGATAGCAATTTGCATCTTTGATGATGTTGCAGAGCAGTGTCATGAAGCAGCTCTGAAGTAAATGTTCCATTCAGATCATTTATGTAGATGTACTGATTGCTATTGTGGCCATTTATCCAATATAATTTTTCTACATGTGTTGAACAGATATTATGATACATATCTTCCTTTCCTTTTGGAGGCTTGCAATGACATGAACCCAGATGTCCGGCAGGTCTGCACAAACTACTCAATATTAGGGTTTAATCCCTAAGTTTTTTTTGCTGTTGATCACTTTTGAAACATGTTTATTTTCAGGCTGCTGTATATGGACTTGGCGTTTGTGCAGAATTTGGTGGTTCTGTTTTTAAACCTCTTGTTTTAGGTACAATCTGCTTCCACATTTGGGGAGTTGATTTCCTTCATATTTCCTTTGAGTTGATAGTTTCTCTTTATACCTTGTTCAGAGGCTCTTTCAACGTTAAATGTTGTGATAAGGGACCCTAATGCCTTGCAACCTGAAAACATAATGGCATATGATAATGCTGTTTCTGCTCTGGGAAAAATATGTCAGTTCCATCGAGAGAGTATAGATTCAGCTCAGGTAATTCCTCAAGCCTATTCAAGCACAAATAATTCTGCAAAATGTGGATTCTTTGATTCTTTTGGTTCACCTTGAAACTTGAATATATTGCGCAGAATGACTTTTAGTTATCTTAGGGTGTGTTGTGGGCTACCTTGCACCTTTTAAACTAACAAGGTCTTGACTCTTGATATGTGATTTGTTAGGCATTTATTAATCAGTATGTGTATCTTAAGTATTTAATGAAATACTAGAGCTCTGAAATGGATTATTTATTTACTTGTGTTCTCATATACTCTCTGCAAGAAAACAAGATGATAAGTGATAATCAGTTGGTAACTTGTGCACAATTTGCTTATGCTTTTTCTTTAGTGGATGCTTCTTTAATAGGGGGGATTTTTTTGTTTGTAGTGGCAGTTTCATTAATTGGTTCAGTTTCTTTTCATTTGGGGATGGTCTCACATTTTTCACCTTTCATGATTTCTTGGTTTAAGAGGGCATTACTTGATTCTTGTAGAGTCATTCTTGCTGTGTATGATCTTTTACAAATATCTACTTATAGTTGATGCTCCTGAAATGGTTGAGTTTTTTTTTTAAACCTTAGTTCTTATGAATACTTGTAGCTTTTGTTGGCACTTCCTCATGCTATAACTGCTGAGATTTTTGGCAGGTTGTTCCTGCGTGGTTAAGCTGCTTGCCTATAAAAGGTGATTTGATTGAGGCCAAAGTTGTCCATGACCAGCTATGTTCAATGGTTGAAAGGTTGGAGCTTCTGTCTGCACTTTTAGCATCACTTACCCATCTTTGTCATTTTTGGTTTCTTTTCTCTGATTCACCTTACAATTTTACTGATGTTCGTCTACAGGTCAGATAGGGAGCTTTTGGGTCCCAACAACCAGTATCTCCCTAAAATTGTTGCAGTATTTGCAGAGGTTAGTTTTATGTACAAATTGCTTTAGCATCTTTGATGTTTAGTTATACTCAACTAACAGGCTTTAGTCCTAGTTACATGGGGTTAGCTACGTGGATCTATTTTCTCTGTTTTTTCTATAAAAATTTGTATCCTAAATTAATAGATATTTTTTAATTCCTTTGGAACCTTCCACCTAGATCAAATTACTGTTCCTTACAAGTGGGTTAGTTCGTCTATGGTGCAAACCACCATGCCATCTCAAATGACTTCCCTCATTTTACCTTCAATTGCTGCCACTTCTAACTTTTCCCAATTATATTCATTCCTTATTTTATCTTATTTCTGTAACATCATTCATTCATCTCAATATTCTCAATTTAGTTAAATCCGTTCTAAAACATGTTTAATTAACCAGCCAACATTCTGTACCACACATCATATTACAAATTACATTTTTGTAAAAGATAAGACTGGATAATTCTTTGGCGGTGTTTGGGAACAAATTTTTTAGGTTTTTTTTGTTTTTTTTTTCACTAAAGGACAAATTGGTTACAAACTCAAAAAAAACAAACCCAAACAAAATATCATATCAAACCTCATAATCATTTCACTTTTTCTCTCACAAATATCACATCCAACCACAAAAAAATTCAACTATCTTCCCAAACACAAAAAAAAATTTCTCCAATAATATCCTACAACTAAAAAAACCTACAAAAAAACCCACTTCCCAAACGCCCACTTTGTTAATCCACGTAAAAAAAAAAAAATTACTGATTTTAATAGGCAATTGTATGTGTTTGTTTGCTCTTGTGGGCATTGGCGGCATTTTTATTTGGTAATGACTTACAATTTGGGGGCATATATCAATATAAATAAGAATCAAACAAACAATGGAGAAAATGTATTCTAGTGAGAATTATCAAGGTAATTTACTTTCTAGGAATGAATTTGAGAAAGTAAAATGGTCGAAAAACCTTACATCATGGAGGGAATAATTTTGAAATGTTTGATTATTTCCAGCAATTTGGCATCACATTTCTACAGTTTTGCTTCGTTGACTGTTCTCATTAATAAGTGTGTGCCTACTCAATCTTGTTTTGCAATTTTGCTCTGTAACCACTTAAAGAGTTATGCTACATGATTAAGCACACATTTCTGCAATGTATTTTAATGGATATTACTGTTGCTGTAGGTTCTATGTGCCGGAAAGGAACTTGCAACAGAACAAACAGCAAGTCGAATGATTAATCTTTTGAGGCAACTTCAACAGACACTACCACCATCGACCTTGGCTTCAACGTGGTCGTCCTTGCAGCCCCAGCAGCAACTTGCATTGCAGTCCATCCTCTCATCATAGTATCGTGGCATCTTGCTATTCATGAGGGCACTGCTTTTGTCTGTGGTTGGTTTGTGTCTTTTCACATATATATTTATTACCCAATTCTTTCCCATAAGATGGATGTTCCTGTCATTCATTTTTTGCATCATGATATGCTTTTACAGCAGCAACCTGGGGTTTGGTTGTTTGGTCTTGAGAGTGAATGTCGATGTGATTGAAATGAAAACCATTTTATTTGTGTAGAATGTGTGTATATTACAAGCGTTATATTTATTTAGGGCAGTATAGCGCCCATTAGAAAGCAAAGGTCAGTCAGTAATTGTGGTTTGTGAGGGTCCCTGTTTGGTAAAATGGGTATTGATGTTTGAGGGTTTGTCAGTAAGGGCAGTTGCCGTCACAGTTTTGGTCGTGTTATGTTATATTTTTTGTTTTTTAATTTCAGTTTTCTGTTACTGCTGATAGTACAAGGACCAAGTTATTTTTATGAAAAAAAGGGGGGTGATTCTTTCATTTACTTGGATATCAATGGGCCTGTGGTATGAACTTGCTTTTGTTGTCAATTTGAGATTCTATTGTGTTGTAGGCTTTGACATCCATATTATTAATTGTTCTTTGATGATCAATGAATGACTTAATTGGCGGTCTTTTTTACTCTGTTATAGTTACTTTTTATTTCAAGATTAATGCCTTGTTTGTCATAACCTAAAAAAGTCAAAAAGTCACTATTCTATTTAAATCATATAATCTTATTTAAGTTTCATCATCTCTCTAGCACAGTATTTTAACCACAATTTATATTTCATAAAAAGTCAAAAAGTACAATTATTTAAATCATTCTAAATGACCTCTAAATTGTGACACTACATAAAAGGACATAATAATCATCTGTCTTGGTATTGAAAACATTTTACATCTTCACAATTGTCGAAGTCTATTTATCAAAAAAAAAAAAAAAGGCCAAAGTCGCATGTAATATAATTTTGGTTGGCCCTGATAAATGCTGAAATTGGTCATCAAGACGGTAAACTTGCAGCTGTAGTGGGAGGGAGGCTATATGGCAGCACTGCAGTGCCGTAGCTGAAGTCTTTTTCAGAGTGATTTGGTTGTGTTACAGGGTTAAAGAGTGTTCACTGCATTTTTTAAGGGAAAATTATTTAGAGCTCCTAGGGCAAGGCTATGGGCATGAGGCACTCTTAACTTGGGATTTTTATTTGTTTAAAATAAATAGTTGAACCCAATCACTTATTTTTGTCAGTTTTTTGAACCCCAGTAGCAATGTGGTAAGATCACCAAATAACCTCCTCTATTGCTTTTTGTAAGTGGGGTGGGGTGGGGTGGTGTGGTGTGGTGTGGTTGGGGTGGGGGTTCAAAGCAGTGTTGGAGCCACCAATACCCTACAACTAGACTAGATTAGTAGTTTAATTTGGAAATTGAGTTTGCATCATCAAACAAGACTAGACTAAAACAAACTGAGGCCAACTGATTTAACAAACAACTGAACCTGAATTACATGATACTACTTTGCATAGAGCACATGAGGTAGGTAGAGGGTCTTAAGAAAATGAGAGCCAAGTTTACCTACCAATGATGATGATGACAATAGTTAAATTAATCACCCAAAATTTCCATCTTAAATTATCATTTGGTCAAACCTTTTTGCCATGTAGAGAGATATTAAAGAGGGGGGATGTATTGGTAATGTTTGGTAGTTTATGGGGAAGAGATTCCATTAAAAGCAGAGCATGCACGATAAGATTCCCCACCCTAAACTGTCACCAAATCCTACACTTCTAATTCATAACACACACCAAAATATATTCCTCAATCTTCCAAAGATAAACTAGTAGTAATTACTTTGTTTAGTTTCAGTTTTCAGAATTCATTTTTAAAAAAATTTTAATTTTCTATTTTCTCGATTTTTTTTGTTGTCACTGAATTTTTTTAATATTTTTTTAATTTTTAGACACACTTAATATAAATACACTTAAAAATATAATATTTGTGAAAAAATCTTTAAAAAATTCACTAAATATTAAAAATACAAAAACAAAAACAAAAAAATTCAACATATTTTTCATATTTTTGTGTATTTATTAATTTTTTAAAATATGTTTTCATAAATATTTTACTATTTAGATACATCTAAATAAGGTGCATCTAAGTAGTAAAAAAATTACTTAAAATTTTAAAAATATTTACTAAAAATAAAAAAACAAGAAAAATAAAAAATTTAATTTTTAAAAAATTAAATTCAGAAAATTAAAATTAAACATACTGAATATAATTCTCAATCTTCCAAAGATAAATAGTAGTACTAGTAGTAATATAATCCCCAATACTCCTCAATCTTCCAAAGATAGTAGTATAGTAGTAGTAGTATGTGGAGTCCGGATTCCCTCCTTACAATTCCTCCTTCATCTCTTCCTTGCAACAGTTGAGATCAGCCGTTGCACATCCAACGGCCATAAAAAAAATAAATAAATAAAAATAAAGAAGGAGGATGATGGCCATTGGATGTGCAACGACTGATCTTAGCCATTGCAAGAAGGAGATGAAGGAAGAATTGCAAGAAAGGAATCCGAACTCGTAGTATGTGGGGGTGGAGATACCTAGCGTGTATCCAAGTGGCAAGCCTGCTTAACTCCAAACATCCTAAACCATTTTATAAATAAAATAATAATAACATATATATTAAAATGGGAAAGCAGGGCAGGCCGCAGGCCTTCCTCTTCGTGGAGCCAAGTTTGTTTTTTTGTTGACCATTTGACAATGACATATTATCATATATGCATATAGAGAACAAAAGATGAGGCAAGGCCTACTCAGGCCTCTAAATAGTTATTACAAAAATACAATTAGACCTCTCATTTGACTTTTGTCTCTTACTTTTTATATTTGTATATATGTTGCTTTTATATGATTAGAATCATACTTCATCTAGTTTTGAAATGCCTTACAGGTCCCCCTCTCTTTTGAATTTGTATTTCTTCACATATAATATAACTCCCTCCCTCTTTAATTATGAACTTGCAACTACCTTTATCTTTCTTTCTTTTTTCTTTTTTTCTAAGTGGGGGTGGGGGTGGTCTACATATTCATGCTTGAATATGTACAATTGTAGTTTCATAATAATAAAAAATTGTACAATTGTAGTTTCGCAAAATCCATAAATGAAGGATACAATTTGTCTATTTATTTTTACATGAACCGCTTTTAAGATGGTTTTAAAATACTGTACATAGTTTATTATATTAATTTTTAAGTTTTTTAACATATACTTTAAAGGCACACGTTAATATATTTTTCTATTGTTTGGTAGTGATTAACATATAGTAATACTTCATAATCTTGTTCTTTGATTTACTTTTTACACGTTAATTTAAAGGGATGAAAAAAGGGAATTATGCATAAAGTTATTTTTGGTTCAGGTAATAGCAACATTAGAAGAAAGAGAAAGAAGAGAGGAAAAAAAAAGGGGGAGAATTACACTGACATAGTGTCAGTATAAATTAATGAAAAAATTCTAATTTTAATTATTAAAATTGATAATATTTCTCACATTTTTGTAATTACTTTGCCTGGTTTTTGTACGTTATTCCCCTCTCTCAAAAAAAGAAAAAAAGAAATAGAAAGTTCTAGAAGTCAAAGTTTTTAAAACAAGGGGCAGAGAGGCCATTTAACTAACAAATGGTAACGAAGGGCAAGAACGTGTCTAGCATTAGGATGTTTTTATTCATCTCTTTGTTGAATGTGTATGTGGGAAGCATAAAACAACAAACACAAATAAACAAATTCCAAGAGCACTTATTATTAGTGATGACACAGTCTCAACTCTCCCCAACATTGAGAAATCAGTCAACCATAAACCAGGAACAAACTCAACTTCACATCCAAACAAGGGCATAAGGACGAGCAACCCACTATCCATCAGACCTATATAAAAAAACACACCCATTGTATTCTCTTCAGTCAGAGCCAAGAGCCCCCCAAACCCACTCCTCAATTCTCTCTCTCTCTCTCTCTCCCCTTTTTCCCTTCTTTTATTCTCTTCTCTTCATTCAGCAAATACATACACACACTTTTAACTTAATAATTTCTATAATGGAACTTCAGTTCCAAAAGCAGCAAAGAGAAGGTTTCTCAGGTGCCAAACAGAGCAGCAGCACATTCAGAAACAGAGGTGGCAACAACAACAAAAGCAAGTTTGTAGGGGTAAGACAAAGGCCTTCTGGGAAATGGGTAGCAGAGATCAAGAACACAACTCAGAAGATAAGAATGTGGCTTGGCACATTCGATACAGCTGAAGAAGCTGCTCGAGCTTATGATGAAGCTGCTTGTCTTCTCCGCGGTTCCAATGCACGAACCAACTTCGTGGTGAATCACGGTGGTCGACCTGCCAATGCCAATTCTCCTGTCTCTTTGAAAATTAGAAAACTCCTCAACCAGAAGAAAGCTACAAAACAAAGCACCAGCCTCTCTTTCACTCCAACAAACACCACAAAAACCACCATTGAAACCAAAACTAGTAATCCTCCTCCTCATCATCATTATAGTAGTAATAGTAGCAGTAGTAGTAGATTTAGTGGTAACAACAGTTATAGTTACAGCAGCAATAGCAATAGTAATAGTCCTCCTGTCACTGTGTCTTCTCCTAGTGGACTGAGGCAAGAAGAAGTTAACAAGATGTTTGATGATGCATATAAACCAGATTTGAGCAACTGCATTAATGGAGGAGGATTGGAAATGGTGGGTTGTTGTCATTTTGATCACCCATTGACTACTAGTACTGAATTTGATCACATTCTCTTAGCTGAGGATGGGTTTGATGTGCCAAAACGCATTGGTTTCGTGCAACATGAGATTGATGAGCCACCACGTGATATTCCAGAATTTGAACACATGAAGGTTGAAAGACAGATTTCAGCTTCACTTTACGCCATGAATGGGGTGAATGAATACTGGGAGAATGTTCATGATTCCAGTGATCCTTTCTGGGATCTTCCCATGCTCTCTCAAATGTTCTGCCCAACTTGATTGTTTTGTTCCTCTCTCTCTCTCTCTCTCTCTCAATCAATTTTGAATGAGTCCTGCTTATGATTTCTTGTAAATGCAGTAAGTGGGAATATTCCCTAATATACCAGTGTTGTAGTCTACTGCATTCTGTGCATCACCAAGTCCCTTTAATACTTACTAGCAAATTAAGTTCTCTTCATGTGTCAACTCTGAACTCCCCTGTGCAAATTCATCTAGCCTTTCTTCTTTTTTCTCTTCTTCTTCAGTATTATTGTTTCTTGTTCCAAATAGAGCTGTAAAATGAATCAAACTACTCATGTTTGGCTTGTTGAAAGCTCATTCGAGATTAGTTTGTTATGTACACAAGTTAAGGTTGAACACATTTTAAAACTTATTAAGTTTTTAAGCTTTGCTCAATTATTTTATATGTACTATAAAATTGTATTAAAAAAAACAAATTACTTGAGTTTGGCTCAATCTGAAATATAAACAAATCAAGCTAAACACATTTTTAAGTCCATTTAGTTAACAAACCAAATTTGAATGACCTTTTGCTCGTTTACAAGCCTAGTTCTAAAGTATCATTTTTAACAGAAATAACTAATGTTTTAACAGTTTGTTATATGTTTTCAATGTTGAATTGTTTTATTGTGTGCGCGTGGGGTGTGAAGTTTAAAAAGATTATTTTGCATGAAAGTACGTGTAATAAAGGAATAGTCTTTTAAAACTATCTTAGCATGTGTCCCAAGCGCACACATTAACAAAACCCTTTTAACATACAAGACAAAATTGAAAAAGAAATAAAGCTATTATTATTCTTAGTAAAATTTAATAGTCAATCTTCCTTGTTTTCTCAACCAGTCTCTAAAGTTTATATTTTGTTCCACTAGAATCTTGGAGAGCTAAGCTTCTTTAGGAAGTGAACAACTTGCAATCTCGAGTAAGAAACCATGGAATTAAGGGAACAGTAGTTGAAGAAAAATACAAACAAAACAAAACAAAATAAAACAGAACAGACATGTATTCCTAGCCAAACTAGGTATGATCAACAAGAGATGCTAGTGTTTGGATGTTTTTCCTAATGAAGGAATAATTATACTTGATGGGGGGTTTTGTATAATTAATTACTCATTAAAATTTGTGGGTTTTTAATAAATTTGGGGGGCTAAGCTACAACCTAAGGCCCTTATAAGAAAGTTAGGTAGCATGTGGCATCTTCTGAATTTTTATCATTTTATATGCATTTTATTGCCCCCCACCCACAGCCTCAAACAACGTCAGTCACTTTGACATGTAAAAGTGTATATTGCACTCTTGCCATGCCATTACATTTGCATTTGCATCTGCATCAGCATCATCCTCCACTCACTTGTACATAATAAAGCGAACTGACTGAATTGGTAAATTGAATGTGCTGTCCTGTCCCCTATTCTAGTTGCTTCATTTTGAATATTTTCTATTATATACATTAATTCTATCTACAACAAATTTACTTACCTCTACCTGCCTACCTAAGTTTTAAGGATAAAATTGTGGGTCTGTATTGCAGCAAACATTTCTGAATCATCGACACACTATCCATCTATCTATCCATCCATCTATCCATCTAATATATAACTTCATTGGCATGCATTGAAACTTGAAAGACACAGCACTTCCCACTTCCAAACCCCTCGGGACAAAAAAGGAGCTGCAACGGGGTCTCCATCATTATGGTGTATCTCTCATCTATCAATAATATATGAGAGAAGGAGATGAACAAGCGAAAATTCCAATTTGCATTTTTCTCCCTTAATATATGAGAGTTAATCCCCTCCAGAAACCCCCGCCCAAACAAGAAAGAATGACTAATACTGCTTGCCAATCAGGAATATATATATATATATATATAATTGTAACTATGCAACTCTGCACTATTGAATACAACCCAACTCGTAGTGTGTACTAACATTGCACTTTCTGATGGGGAGCTAAGAAAATATAGGCCTCCTGCAACTATCTGTTTGTTGAACTAACTCAATTCTCAAACAAATGTGACAAAATAAAAAAGAAAAAAAGCAACTTTGCGATCTAAAGACATGATAAATGGAAAGCACTTAAAAGGAGGAAAAAACAATATAAAGGTAACAAAAAGAAAATCATCATACAAAAAGGAAAATACCCAATTATTTCAAAGCACATAGCACAGAAAACACTTCCCATCAGAACATTGCAAACACAAATTTTAACCACTTCATAACATCAAGACAGAGAATGGCAATACCCGAGAAATAGAACAACACAGAAAGATACAAGAGGGTCGAACTAACCAATCATCCAGACAAATCCCCTGCAAAACTACCTCAATAATCTTCGCCATCTTCTTCGTCCTCCACAGCTTCAGCACCAACTTCCTCATAATCTTTCTCGAGAGCAGCTAAATCTTCACGGGCCTCAGAGAACTCCCCTTCCTCCATGCCTTCACCAACATACCAGTGAACAAATGCCCTCTTGGCATACATCAGATCAAATTTATGATCAATGCGCGAGAACACCTCCGCCACTGCTGTGTTGTTGCTGATCATGCACACCGCTCGCTGCACCTTGGCAAGATCACCGCCCGGTACCACTGTTGGAGGCTGGTAGTTGATACCACACTTGAAGCCGGTAGGACACCTGTGAGTTAAAAATACAGTAATGTTTCAGATTACGCATAAATACACTACAAAAGGTCAGGGTACAAGGCATTAAAGCATCTACTTCCCACACAGGAAAGACAAGCCAACACAATACGCTGTTTTCCCTACAAATTTCATATATAGTAGTAACATATTTTCAATATATCCTTCAATAGAGGTCTTTAAATCTATCATGGATGGATGAGGAACTAATCCTGCACCCAATTATAGCTCCTAAAAAGGTTGCTAAATAAATCTTCAAGCACAAACTTTGGATAGTTGAACTCAGCTCCTAGCAAATAGAATTTACTTATCAACTACCATTCGCCTAGCTAGCTTTGCACTTTCAACAGTAGCTGATTTTTAGAAGTGTTTTTGTGTTTTGTGTCTTGTGTATATGTAGAATTAATGGCACATGTGTAGACGAACATATAAATTCAGAGGCATGTGTATATAGATGTTCCAACCCTAACGTGGTTGTAACCCTATTCCTATTTATATCATCTGTCCATCTTCCATTTACTCAGACTACATATTTTAAACTTGAAAGTGCAACTTGGTAGCTTTTTTCAAATAAAAAGCAAAAGTACTTCAAGATGGTTTAAGTTTAAATTTTTAACTACACGAGTATCTTCAAAGATATTCTATAAACTACATGAAAGTAGAATATTTTATCAATTGTCATTCGAATTAGGTCTAATTATTTGCATATTTATATGCATTTTTCTCACCAGTCAACAAACTGTACAGTCCGTTTGGTCTTGATAGTGGCAACGGCTGCATTAACATCCTTTGGAACAACATCTCCACGGTACATCAAGCAGCAGGCCATATATTTCCCATGCCTTGGATCACATTTCGCCATCATGCTTGCAGGCTCAAACACTGAATTTGTGATCTCAGGTATAGATAGCTGCTCATGGTATGCTTTCGCAGCTGAAATTACAGGGGCATACGAGGAGAGCATGAAATGTATACGGGGATATGGTACAAGGTTAGTCTGGAACTCTGTAACGTCTACATTAATGGCCCCATCAAACCTTAAAGAAGTTGTCAAAGACGATATTATTTGGGAAATCAATCTGTTCAAATTGGTATAAGTTGGCCTTTCAATGTCTAGGGATCTCCGGCAGATATCGTAAATGGCTTCATTGTCCAAAAGCACAGCCACATCTGTGTGCTCGAGGAGAGAGTGCGTAGAAAGAACACTGTTATAAGGCTCCACAACTGCAGTAGAGATCTGCAATGAACAAAGTTAGCTGCACCTAAATCAACAGAACCATAGCTAGAATGACAATGTTTCTAGTCACAACTTTGATGCAATATTGAGCAAAATTCATGCCATTTTTAACACGTAGCAGAAGAGCTTTTTTTTATTTATTTATCAACCACAAGTATTAGAAGTGCTGATATTTCACAGAAACTCAAGCCTTGTTTGGGAAAAGGTTATTTTAGTAATTTTTTGACTTTTTGTCTAAAATATGAAGTAAAAAAACTAGTATGTTCGGAATGATTTTTTGATTTTTTACGAAAAGATGCAAAAAGTAGAGAGAAAAGAGAATCTTGGACTTTTTAGTATAAGTTGTAGGCTTTTTGATTTTTTTAATAACTTTTTGACTTTTAAACTAAAACTGTACCATGCCAAACGAGGCCTAATTAAAAAGAACAATAATTTTCAACTTCATGTTAACTTAACTAGTATTATTCTAGTTTTATGTCGATTAAAACAAATAATAATGCTATAACAGGTGTCACTAATATCATGACTACCATAACTACTCCATATGAGGTTTGTATGAGAAACTGAAGAATCTAGCATTGATAAGTTAACAACTGTAGACACCTGAGGAGAAGGATAAATGGTGAACCCAAGCTTTGACTTCTTTCCGTAATCTACAGACAAGCGTTCCAACAACAAGGACCCTAAACCAGAGCCAGTGCCACCACCAACAGCATTGAACACTAAAAACCCTTGCAAACCAGTACAGTTATCAGCTAACTTCCTGACTCGATCAAGGCATAGATCAACAATCTCCTTCCCCACTGCAGAACATCACCAAAAAGAGGTTTAAGCCCCACAAACAGAAACGTTCCGAGAGCTGGGTGGTGAATTCTATGAACAGTGAAGATTTTACCTGTATAATGCCCTCTTGCAAAATTGTTGGCAGCATCTTCCTTGCCAGAAATAAGCTGTTCGGGATGGAAAAGCTGGCGGTAAGTCCCTGTCCTAACTTCGTCAATAACGGTTGGTTCCAGGTCAACAAATATAGCTCTGGGCACATGTTTTCCTGCACCTGTCTCGCTAAAGAAGGTATTAAAAGCATCGTGTGCGACACCCACTGTTGTGTCACTGCACAGACATGATAAATTTTGTAAGCAATTCGTACAAATCTCGATGTAAACACCCTCCAGCGAAGAATAAAAGGCACAAATCTACAAGACCCAAAAAAACAAAAACAAAAAACAAAAACAAAACGGAGCAAAATTCCAAACTGAAAACTAGTAATTCAGAATGAATGAGATCTAAGATAGAAAAGTGAAATGCACAAATACTAAATTTAGATATAACTAACTATGGTGGTGTTTGGGAAGCAACTTCCCAAATTTTTTTCTCATTTTTTCCACTAAAAGACAAAAGTTTTGCAAAACCAAAAAAAACACATACAAACAAAATATCACATCCAACCCCATAATCATTTCACTTTTTCTCTCACAAACATCACATCCAACCACATAAAAACCCAACTATCTTCCCAAACACCAAAAATTTTTTATCTCATAAAAACCTACATCTACTAAAATCTACATAAAAACTCACTTCCCAAACACCATCTATGTTTAACTTGAGCAATGCATTTCATGAGAAGAATTCAACGGAAAAAACAAGATGGGGGCGTTATTTATGAAACAATACTTGGATCAATAAATCACTCAGAATTTCAATTCAATTTAGTTCAATAATGTCCAACAAATTACGATCAGAAAACAAGGAAAGAGAGGCACAAATGAAACAATACTGGGATCAATGAAATTATAAGAAACAAACTAAATAGACATATTCAGATTCACAGATCAATTTGCATTTTGACATAGATGGATTGAACGCATAACATAGATCCACGCAAGAAAGAAGGAAACAGAGAGAGAGAGAGAGAGAGAGAGAGAGACCTGGGCATCATGCCATCGGGATGAATACCATGCTCGAGGCAATAGAGCTCCCAACATGAATTCCCAACCTGAATACCTGCTTGCCCTATGTGTATGCTTATGATTTCTCTCATCTCTCTCTCTCTCTCTCTCTGTGGAGAAGATGTAGTAGTAGAATAGTTGTAGTAGTAGTGGTAGTAGATGATTTAGATCTCTCTCTCGATCCAAGCCACTAGATCAACAAAGATACCAGACGGCGACCACACCCAAGACAACGCTACCCCCCTCCCTCAGATCCAGTCTCCAATAAAAGCCAAAAGTCTCGCTCTCTGTTTGGGCCTAATTTGTAAATAAATCATTTTAGCAATTTTTTTTTTCTTTTTAATTAAAACATATAATTACTGGACGATGCCTTAATTATTATTGGGATAAATTGTAAATACACTAAATTAAAATATGCTATTTTTTTGTAATTTTTAAAAGTATATATATTTTTAAATTTTTAATCGCATAACAAATGAGTTTTTTATTAATTAGTTAATAATTTTTAGAGAATTTTTTTTAAGGTCCTTTGTATTAAGATTTTATAGTATAAAAGACACTTAATATTTTCATAATGTCTAAGGTCCCTCAACATTGATCCAGAGAAAATTCGGTGAAGAGAAATTTCAAAATTTCTCTGGACACATCACAGAGAAATTTCAAAATTTTTCTGGACTCTCCAAACCCAGAGAAATTCTCAGACAAACATTTCTAGAGGTTCTCTCACCCAGAGAATTTCTCTGGACTCCACAACCCAAAGAAAATTTCCAGACAAATATTTCCAGAGAAATTCTCTCAACCCAAAGAATTTCTTTGGGCATGACCAGATGCAATAGCTGAGTTGAAATACGGTAATACAGTCACTCTGCCGCCAAAGTATGCTTGAAGATGCAACAAACTATCTTGAATCACTACTTAAACATAGAATTCATTGGAACATGATAACTTGATTTTTTGTGTTCGCTAAGAATATGCATCAAATGAAAAACCTGTATGGCTGCCCAATCAGGATAAACATGAATGTTGGTATGATCCTGTCAATAGAAAAGGAATGATCAATACTCAGTAATCAACATCAAGTGGTGATAACAGAAAATTGTAGACACCCAACAAAATAAGGAAGTCCAAAACATTTGCCCTGAAACACTTGCTTACCGATGGAGGTGAAGATGATTTCTCGGACTTAGAAGGCCTGGTCTCTTCACTATTTCCCATAGTCAAGCACCAACATGAAACTCTTGAGAGATTCAGAGATGAGGTAAAAATATTGTTTTGACAGCTACCTCTTTTGTTTCTCTGAATGAACAATCAGCCAGCTGCATTAATGATGGCCATGTCAAGCAGTCTGACAAAAAGGTTTGCAATGTCAACAAAGAAAACTTCAAAAATATATATATATATATATATATATAGTAGTCACGTGTATTTAGACAAATGTTTCAATTCAAAAGAACTTCTCTCATCACAAAATAACTTAAGCCCAAAACAATTCCAGAAAATTAAGTCCAGTTAATGCTAGGGTCCTCAACCCAGAGAAAATCCCAGAAAGTAGGATCTTACTTCTCTCTCTAGTATCTAGATAGAGAAAGCTCCCCCCATTGGTTGGCTTGTGATTCATGGTGGGTCTGTGATTCATGGTTGTTCCATTAAACCAATTTGTATCCATGATCTAGTTATTTAGTCATATGAGAGAAGTTGGTCTAGTGAGAATTGAAACTCTTCTTCTAATTCTGATTGCGTTTCCTCAAACTCAAATATATCAATGCTCTCTACAGCCTTCAAATCACTCTTAGACTCTCTAATTCAAGATCACTATCACAAACAACTCTAAACTTAGAGAGACAGAGACAGAGATGTTGGATCTCAACGTTGATTCGAGTTGCAATGAGGTCAAGACGACTAAGATCACGAAGCTTCCGAGAAGTGATGATTATTCCGGAACTTCGATCTCAGTGAATCAAAGAGAGGGAAGAAGAAATTGTTGCGTAGAGGAAGAGGAAGTGAATTTTCTCTGTGATATGTGGGTGTAGGGTTAAAGGACCTTAGACATCACAAAATAATATTGTGGATCTCTTCCATCACAAAAAATAAAAGAGGGACCTTAGACTAATTTTTCCTAATTTTTAATGATATTAAAAATATATTTCAATTAATAATTCTAATAATTTTATTATTGCATATGAAAACAGTTAGAAATTTTATTTTTTTGTTAATTCTATTAAAAAAATTCTAAATATAATTTTTAAAATTATAAGAGATAATTCGAATTTTAAAAAAATTCAAATAATATAGAGGCACTTTTTCATAAATCCTTTTTCACCTACTTATATTCTATTTAATCCATATTATTTTCTTATATTCCAATAAATTCTATGATTGACATAATTATCAAAATACCCCTAATAACATATTTATAGTATGAATGTTCTGTGATGTGAATGTTTACACCATCAATGTGAATGTTCACGCTGTCAAGATGAATATTCACATTATAAAACATGAATGTTCACATCGCCAAATTGCTAACCGTTCAAAAAATATTTGTAGGAGTATAAATTTCATAAAATATTTTAAATATAAGAATTAGGATTTGATAGATCAAATGTTCAAATAATAGAATTTATTAGAATACAAGAATATCTTATAGACTAATTGGGATACAAACACTTAAAAAATAATTTTTTAATAAACCTCCCAATTATATAATCCTAATTTACCCTTATTTGTAGAAAAGTAGTAATATGACAAAACACCACACCACTCCATGACATTTCAAAGGACTTAGGCCTTGTTTGGGGAGTAACTATTTTAGTTAAAAAGTCAAAAAATCATTATAAATTGTCACATCATTCTGTACATCTTTTTGTAAAAAATTAAAAAATTAATAAAATAGCATGTTCCCAAATGAGATTTGAGTCTCAAGGGGAAGTCATGTATTCAACTTATGGAGGATGAGTTAAATTAGGAGCTAATTGCAAAGGTAAAGATGCTAACTCCCATAAATATTAATCTAATGACTAACAACTAACAACTTACTTTCATTAATAAAAAATAAATAAAATTATTGCAACATATAAACTACACTATCGCATCATTGGTCCCTACTATTTTGGTGGTATTTCACTTTAGTCTCACAATTTTAACCTTTCACTGTGTAATCCCTCCCTAGCACGTTCTACTCACGCAAGTAATTTTAGAGAAATTTGGCCATAAACCCCTCCTAACTTCCTTTTCTTATTAAAAGGATAATAAAAAATAAAAAAAAAGAAAGAAAAGAAAGAAAAAGTACTTTCAAAACCCCCTCATAATTATAAAGTCCTGTATGAAGGATAAAATTTGTTATTTGAATATTTTATTTGATCATTATACCCTCTCTTTCTTTTATAGCTCTCCATCTCTCTCTCTTTCTCTCTCTCTTCACCAACTCAGGGGCTGTTCATCGTCTTCACTATCTGTCATCGTCTATTAGCGTTGTTCATCCTCATCGTCGGCTGACAACCACCATTTTTACCGTCAAACCCCACCATCACAAATTTAATACCTACGAACTAATATTTGAGATCAATAACTTCATATCTGAGATAAAAAAAATAAAAAAAATAAAAAATAGATTTCACAAAAAAATGAGAAATCGAGATATTAAAATGAAAAATCAAGAGTTTTTTGTTTGTTTGTTCGTAGATCTAAAAGTAAAATTTGACTATAGTTCGTTCATTTAGTATGTACTCTGTTTTTGCAATAGTAAAATTTTATTCTGATTAACAACATGTTAATCTGTTTAACGACAGTAAAATCATAGTAAATTTTACTCTAATTCAAAGTAAAATTTTACTCTTTTTTTTATTTATTACAGAGTAAAATTTTACTTTAAAACAAGCTACGATAATGGCTTTATAGAAGAGTGTTGTGTCATAAATCAGAGTAAAAATTTACTGTTAGAATAACAGAGCATATGAAAAGAAGAAAGAGAGATAGAGAGACAGAGTTCAAAAACAGAGGATCAAAAGGAGGAGAAGAAGAAGAAGAAGAAGAAGAAGAAGAGAGAGAGAGAGAGAGAGAGAGAGAGAAGGATCTCAAATTTGAGATTTGTGAACCGTTGCAAATCGTCATTTTCCAGCAATGACGACTGTGAATGATCGCAGATCTGAAGTTGTGGATATGACAAATGATGGAGATGATAATGACGATAAAGAAAGAGTTTTATGGTGAGCGGCGATGGCGCCGATGATGAGCAACTATGATAAGAACGAGACAGAGAAAAGAAAGATTGAGATAAGAGATAGTGATTGCAATCTGATACACACGCATATATATGAGGGTATTATAGTAAAAAAAAGTAAGTTTTAGAATACTATAGGGTTTTGAAAGGATTTATATAATTCTTATTATTTTAAAGGACAAATTAGACACTAAGGGATCTATCACAAAATCTTCCAAAATTTTACAACTTTATAACAATTTAACAAAAAACAAAAAAACACATTACATAGAATTGATGATTATAGTTTCACTTAAATTCCACCTAAATTTTTTTTTTAACAATTTCACACCTCCCAAAAAAATAAAATAAATGATGAGTTACATCATTATAGTTTCAGTTAAATTCCATTTTTTTTTATTTAATTGGGAAACATAATAAACTTTGTATTTTAAATCAAGTATTAGTTAATGAATAGATAAGGTCGGATTCAATTATCAGCCAGGCCTAAAACAAAATCCTAATTGTAACAGTAATTATATAGTCTTCTTGGAACATTACATCCACGACGTGCTGGTTAATAACAAATGTTATGTATTTAGAACATTTTCATTTATTCATCAGGCATTTCATTAAATTTAAATAAAAATTTAAGTAAACTTTGATTTGGTATGATGCACTATAATATTTTCATCAAATTTAGTTGGTTGATCGACTGATCGTCGGTTGAGAGTAAATTTTCATCAAATTCATCCCAAAATTGATTGTCCGAGAGGACGTTCACCTAACAATCAGTCACCTACAAATTTGATGAAACGATAAATGCTCCCTACATTTGATGAAAAAAGTACTACTTCTTTTATTTGTTACCAAACTGATGAAACGATTGGAATACCGTTTTTATCAATTTTTCATCAAATTTAAATTTGATAAAAGATTTAATGAAAGATTGGAGATGGTCTTATATGGCTCTCAATACTAGAAATAATATAGGATAGTCACAAAACATTATTGATGGGGTACAATCATATAAATATTTATTAACTTTTTATATTTAAATAAATATTTATT